TATATATATATATATATATATATATGAACTGAACTCATTACTCCGAGCGTAACTTTAGATTATTACAAAAGGAATTAATCAATAAAAACTTTGAAATACAAACCAACTGTGTTTTGCATATAATTTTTGCCGACAAACGAGTTTTTCTGTCGTGTTTGCCTATTTCGATAAATTAACTATTTTGAATAATATTTGAAAAGTATTTTTGTTTTTTATTTCTGTAATTTGATTAATACTATCTGTTGTCCCTCGTCCACTAGTGCGATTGTCTATATCATCTCTTCGTGGCCCTCCCAGCATCCAACTACTAAAAAAGAACATAGATACATACACTGTGCGGTGCCTGTAAATAAACTGCCAATACTTAAAAGACTAAACCTTAAAATCAAATGAAATATTTAACGAATCGTATGTTCAATGTATTCAACTTATTTGAAATTATCCTTTGGCAGTATTCCGTTGAAATGCAAATTGCATAAATATAAATGTGAAACATTCATTGAATTGTTGTATCAAAAATTTCAAATCAAATTGTTTCGTGCCCACAGTTTTGTAATTTTGTACTATGTATTTTGTTTAGTGTGTTGTCAGGGATTTTGATATATGTATGTATGTAACCATCGTTGGGTGGGTTTCCTTTGGAAACTAATTTGGTAAGTACTAGCCTTTTGCTAATAGCGATTCTAATACGACTGCAGATGCAAGGATAAAGCGATGCATTTGATTAATGTGAACGATGCAAGCAGTCAACGGAGCAGAGCCACTCAACTGAATTTATTCTTATATTCTTCGCAGAAAAAGTGCTATGCACACACTTCTTTGACGTAGTCAAAAGACCTCAGAGTTTACTTAGCTAGAAAAGTGGAGAAAAATAAGCAGAAATGTCAAAGACATTGTCAAAGAGATTCCCCTATCAACAGGAGAAAGCACATTTTTATTCACGTCTCTATACGTTTGTGTGTGCCTTGCAGCTCTTAGTACACAGCTAGCTGGCTAAAGACTTAAATTTATATTCTGACATTCGATGAGGACTTGCCAGCACTCCAGTAATAGCAATATATTTGATTACTTTTGAGCTTTAAATTTTGACTCATCGGAAAGATGCCTTTTCAACTAAAATATATATTTTGTGAATTTTAATTAGATAAATAGATCATTTTATATTATTTTGATCTTCACATGCACTAAATTTTTGTATTTGATTCTTTATGGTATGGATCTCGAATCATATATGTAGGTCAGCACCCTATTGTTCAATGAAGTTTGATTAACCATTATTATTTGAATAAATCTCGTTAATATTACGAGTTTTAGTTATGTAATTTTGTATGTATATGCGCCTTATCATGTGTTAGTTACCTTTTATTAATAAGTTACAAAGAGTGGGATTCGGTTTATTTAATTTGCGAGAATTATTCATAGCGAACATGATATAAATTAATAGCAATGCATATGAAGATCGCGAACTCCTAACCAATTTAAATCGTTAATCTTATTGGGAATGCAAATTTTAGGAAACGTATTATCTGTTGAGGCAACTTGATTGCTGGCTCGTACTATAGCATTATATATTATGGTATTATTTCTGATATTTTGCAGCACGTCGCTCGGCCTCGCCGTTCCGTCCCAGCCGCACGAGCCGGGCTGGCAGCGAGCCCTATGTGCCACCGCCAGTGTACTGGAACCGTGAGGGCAGCGTGCCACGTGGCGGACCATCGGTGTTCGATCGCGCTACCAGCTTGGCTCCGTTCACGCGGCCAAGCTTCCGTGCCAGCTCGCTGGAGCCTTTGGATGAACTCTTTGAAAGTAAGTTGCCAACAATTTCTGTGGCCCCGGCCGAAGCCGAGGCCGATGTAGCAGCTGCCACTAGGCCTTCGATTTTTGAGCGCGCCGGCTCACCAAGTCCCACTCCTGTCAAAGCCGGTCGCTGGGGACCACGCCCCACCGAAGTCGCCTACGATGCTGAGGGTAAAAATCGAAATTCTTCTTATCCGTTTTCCTTTTATACAAGAAGAGACAAAATATTCTCGTTGTTGTTTTAATGGCAGTGATGATAATGACGCCGCTGATGCTGATGTTGATGAACGTGTTGAAAAATTATTGCCATATTTTTCGCGATGCGTTCGTATCTGTTTCAGTGACAGTGTCTGTCGCCAGAATTTGTCAAAATATTATATATATATATAAAATTTGTTTTTGGCTGTTATTCAACAACATTTTTATTACGTACTGCAAACAGCCATAGCAACAAAAATATATGTTAGCTCAGCAGTAAGCGCCGTGCTTAAAGTCCTTAAACCTAAACGCTACTTCCCTCCTCCACATTGCTTTTAGAATTGCCTTCCGTAGCGCCTGTTGCCTATCCTGCTATTATAAAACTTATATACTCGCTCGTCTTCTGTCCTATCCATATATATTCTTCATGTTCCTCTACTTCCGTTTTTTTTGGTAATTTTTCCAACCTCACATACGCATGGGAAATATCAAGAAAAAAAATTGTTTATGTTGTCTTTTCTTGTTTTTTTTTTGTTTAATTTTTGTTTTTTAGTTTAAATGCCAAGCCAAACATATTTTTCTTTCTGCTCTTCTTGTATACATTGCAATACAACAACAACAACAACAACTACAAAATAAAAACAACAAACAACAAACAATCAAATCTACAAATCTTATTGCATACCCTTTACCAACAACACGATGACTCTGCTACTTGACAATGACAACAACACGAACCCAATTGCTATGTCGAACCACAAACAGGACTTCCAATCTTCCATCCACGCAACCGCTTCAGGGATATGCTGAGCCCCAGCCCCAAGCTGCCGATCTCGTCGATTGTGCGCGATCCCTTCTGGTGGGATGTGGATGATCTGGTGCCCTTCCGTGCCACCTCGGTGCCCCGCGCCTCGAGCCCCGTTGCCCGTGATTCGTATTTGTCGCCGGTGAAGAACCGCTATCTATGGTCGAGACACCCAGCCAGACCTCTGACACGTAAGTAGTGCAAGGCGAAATATATTTTGTGTATACAATGCAAAGCACCCTGTATATATTCTTCTCTTGCTCTTCACTGGCAATCTGCATACCACTATCTTGGAATTCATGAAACACATTTCAAATGCTGCTCAAAGAAAACTTATTCGAAGCATGAGCGAGTTGCACATAATAGATATGATATCTTAGAGATGATTTTTCGAACTTTAGTTTATTGAACTTCCCATTGTAATTTTATTCAAAATGAATCTTTTAACATTATTATTTTTATTTTATTTACATTTTTTGTGCCCATCACAGCTGAGGCAGAGGATATTTTCTAAAACATAAAAAATGAAACATAAACATCAAAATAAAGCCAAATCACAACTCAAAATCGTTAGCTCTAATAACAACCGATGCTATATCACATAGCACTTCTGTAATTTTTTTGTACTTTAATTTACATAAATTACATGTAACGAAATGCAATACAAACAAATTGGTAAGATTATTATGTAAAACAAAAATAAAAACAATACAAAATAAAAACAAAACCCTGCAGCATGTCCAAAATACTGTTCGTGCATACTACATTATCTGACGAGTAGTATATTTCGTAGATCCCCTTGATATTCGTAGTACATTCATATACTTTTATATACTTATATAGATATTAGTAGTGGTAACAATTATTTGACATTTGAAAAACTTTAGAAATTGTGATTAACAAATTGGAAATTACCAAAATTTTAATTAGAAAATTTGCACGCAAACTTTTTCATACATGTTTTCTAATTCGACTTTATTATGACAAAACTTAATTAACGTAATTATTTTCGTAATTCCCGACAGCTCACCGCTCAATTTTGTAAACGAACGAAAACGAACAACAACAACTACACTTACAACAACAACGAATGCATCAATGGGGTCCCAAATAACCATCAACGATTAGTCTTTAGGTTTCCATGTCAAGAACCGGAAATCAGTGAAAGTAGCAAAATATATCTATATAAAGACTATATATATATATAGCCTTTGAGTCCTCAACAACGATTGAATTTTTTCAAAACTGCCAGCCCCAGAAGATCCGGGTGCTGCCTCCACTTTAATAATTGCCATCAAGTGCTTACTTCCCGTAGTAAAAGTAAACAAACATAATACATATATAATAAAAGAAGAAGAAGAAAGCAAAGGGAAACCTTTTCAGCAACAACTCTCGATATCAAACTTTTATTTGCAATTCTGCCTTTTTTTTTTTTAGCTATTAGTGATAAGTGCAAGTATATGAAAAAACAAAAAATCGATTTACATTTATTATAATAAAAGAAAAACGAAATCTCTTATGAGTCGCCCTTGAACAACCCGAGCGCCATAAACTGTTCCTTTTTTGTATATCTTAGATGCTATATATATATATATATATTATAATTATTTGTATCAATAACATAAAAAATACTCGAATTTCAAGTATAAACCGTTTCAATTTCAAAGTTCATAATTAAATTAATGCTGTAAGAATAGATGAACCTTTCACTGCATATAAGAGAGAATATCTGCCATATTATATATGCAAACTATCAAACACTGCGGCTTAGCATATTTTCAATTTGTAATATGTGTACAACAATTATAAAATTCTTGAAAAACCAAAAAATAATAAAAAGTTTAAAAAGCCCAATGCGTTTTCGATTTAAATTTCCTCATATGTTGCTTGGCGTGCTGTTAATCCCCCAACCATACCAGACGGAGGAAAGAGACAAATAATAAGGTTGAACGTTTCAGTCGACATTAGCGATTGAATAATACTTGTACATTGCCGTAGGACCACGAAATAAGTTTCTTAAAGATTTTTGTTATTTTTCTTCAAAATTCGAGGTCTTTTCTGAAAATGAATTCATTCATCCATGTGCTGTTTCTTATGTAAGCAGAAAAAAAAACGAATAATTACTTAAATATCAGTTGTTCGAAAGGTTCAGGAGATCTCGTAGTCCGCAGTCTCGAATGTTTTTATACCCTGAACCCATTGAAAATGGGAAATGAGGGTATAATGGTTTTGTAAAAAAGTATGTAACGGCCAGAAGGCATCATCGCAGACCCCATAAACTATATATATTCTTGATCAGGACGACGAGCTGAGTCGATATAGCCATGTCCATCTATCCGTCCGTCCGGACGGACGCGTCCGTCCGTCTGAGTGCGTCGATCTCAGAGGATAAAAAAGCTAGAGAACTGAAATTTGGCATGCATACCATACGCAATACGAGTTTACTTTATTTTTTTTTCGATAAATCATCCGATAACTTTTTTATCGAGAATGATCGAAAAATT